TGGCACATGCCTGTAATCCCAGCTACTCAGGAGGCTGAGGCAGGAGAATTGCTTGAACCCGGGAGGCGGACGTTGCGTTGAACCAAGATCGTTCCATTGCACTCCAGCCTGGGTGATAAAAGGAGAACTACTCTTCAAAAAAAAAAAAAAAAAAGAAAAGTCAAAGTCACGAAAAACAAAGTGAGAAAATGTTTCAAATTTAAAAAGACATAACAATTAAATATAAAATGTAATCCTGTTTTGTTCCACATCCAACATGACACCATAGGGAGCTCTGTAAGCCTCCCATTTCCCTCAGTGGCCAGGCTCACGTCTGTAATTCCAGCACTTTAGAAGGACAAAGTGGGCTGATCCCTTGAGCTCAGAAGTTCAAGACCAGCCTAGGCAACAGGGTGAAACTTTGTCTCTACAAAGACTACAAAAAATTAGCCAGGTGTGGTGGTGTGCACCTGTAGTCCTAGGTACTTGGGAGAATGACTTGAGCTAGGGAGGCAGAGACTGCAGTGAGCCGTGATCATGCCACTGCACTCCAGCCAGGGCTACAGAGCAAGGCTTCAACTCCAAAAAACAAAGTCTCTGGAAATGGTGCTAAGAGAAAATGACCTTCAAATTTTTAAATAAAAATTATAGGAGGCCATTGTTTTGGACTAAACTGCACTAGTGATGACAGCTGCGGGCCATCCGGAGCAGCTGCTACCATCGCGCTGGCAGCAGCAGGGAGATGTGAGCGGTGATGGCAGCAGCAGCTGCAGAAGAGCAGTGGCACCATTGGAACCCTGTACCCCACGTCCCTGAAGCAGCTGGCCAGACCACGCCCACCTTCGCATGGTCAGGAGCCGCCCCCAGGCCGGGACCCTCCACCACTCCGGACATCTGCCTCAGCTGTGGGGAAGGCGAGGTAAGGAAGCACAGTCCCCAGAGCTGGCCCCTGGGAGCCCCGCCCAGAACCCACTGCCCTGGAGGTTGCTAGGATGGGGCCAGGCTGTCACCTGCCGGTGGGTGAGCAGCATGGTCAGGCGCAAAGGGGCAGGCAGAGGTGCCCCAAGGCAGAGCCAGGCCGGAGAGGCCCCAGCTGCCCCCGCAGGCTCAGGGGTGTCTGTTCCCATTGACTGGTCTCTCCCTATTACCCCCACCCCCAGCTCCAATCTCAGAGCCAAATGAGCCCAGGCGTGGTAAAAGCCTGGCCAGGTGTACGCATGTTTGGGGCAGCAATGACACACCAGCCCCCTGCCACTTTGTCCCCCTCCGGACTTTGGGCTACAACAAGCGCAGGATGGGGAGAGTTTAAGCTGAGGGGGAGCGGAGGGCAGCTTGGCACTGGCCTGCATGTGCACCGTGGCATGAGCAGCCTGGGCCTGAGCAGGAGGCAGACAGGCTACTGGGCAGAAGGGGGCGGGTCCCCGGTGAGGCCCCACCTTCGGGCCAGGGAGGGCTTGAAGGTTGGGGGCCTGGCTGCTAGTCCCATAGACCAGAGTGGGAACTTGTGGTGCCTTTTCTGGGCCTGCCCATGGAGCAATCGGCAGGTACTTACTCCTGTTTAAGCCCCTGCGCTTAGCCAGAGGAGAACAGACAATGGGATGACTAGCTGCAGAGGAGCTACCCACTCTGCTGAGAGCTCAGCACTCATCAAGTGGGGCTGAATACTCCACGAGACACCCTGTCTATGGAAGGGAGGTGGCCCCTGCGGACCTCCTCTGAGCTGTTCTCTCTTTTTTTCTGAGACGGAGTCTTGCTCTGTCACCCAGGCTGGAGTGCAGTGGCGTGATCTTGGCTCACTGCAACCTCCACCTCCTGGGTTCAAGCGATTCTCCTGCCTCAGCCTGCCCAGTAGCTGGGATTACAGGCACATGCCATCAGGCCTGGCTAATATTTTTTGGTATTTTTAGTAGAGACGGGGTTTCACCATGTTGGCCAGGCTGGTCTCGAGTTCCTGACCTCGTGATCCACCCACCTCGGCCTCCCAAAGTGCTGGGATTACAGGCGTGAGCCATCACATCCAGCCTGAGCTGTTCTCTCAAAGAAACTCCTCTTCCTCTTGCTTACCCTTCACTTGTCTGCGTACCTCTTCCTGGTCACAGGACAAGAACTCGGGACTCACTGAATGGTGAGGCTGAAAGAACTGTAACACAAACATATTAGGAGCTGAGATGCCCCTTTCTCACCACATTGCATGTGAAGAGGAGAGAAGAGCTGTGGCCCTTCAAGGATCCCAGACCTGGGAGCTCCCCAAGCCAGGGCTGTGACTCCCTCTTTGGGGCGCTGTGGTTGCTGGCATCTCCAAGCTTCCCCAGTGTTCCCTGGTGCCAGCAGTGGAAGCTGCCTGAGGTGCACCTGATCTGGCCGTAGCTTTGCAGAGGACCAGTACCCATGCCAGCACTGGAGCTGCCCACCCCGCTGCAGCAACTAGAGTGTCTTGACTGCACAATGGCTGGACCCCATGTTCGCTCCCATACCCCTCGTCGCTCCATGCCTGACTCTCCCTTGGCAGGCATGGGATACAGGCTGGTAATATGAGTGCAATGCCAGACTGTGGACAGAACAAGCCCAGCGGGCCCAAGTAAAACTCAGGCAAAGGCGCCATCAGCCACAGATGTTTCTGGTCAGAAAAGTGACACCCCAAAGATCTCATAACACTAGGCCCAATAGTCCAGACTAAAAATCATAATGGCGTCACTAATGCTCACCAAACAGAAACTGAGCTGCCATCTGGCCTTTCTAGAAATCGAGAGACCGAAAGAGGTAACAGCCTAATTTCCCAAACAGGCCAGTTTCAACTGACATCGTATGAAGCTCTCTCTGTTTTAATCTTTCATCTGAAGTAACCTGATGTTAACCAATCAGCTTATTTTTCCATTATTCTGTCTCCCTGTCCCCACCCTAAAATGACCAATCCACTTTTTTTCTGGAGCAACCCTATTAAATGAGACCAATCCACTTTTTATTCTTTTTTTCTTCTTTATTCAACCCTTTTTCTGTCTATAAAGCTAATCTCCTCTGCTTCACTCATTAGAACACTTATTCTATTTTACAGAATGAAGTGTTGCCCAATGCTAGAATCACAATAAACCCAATTGAGATATTTAAACAAAATGTGTTATAATTTTGTCTTTTGACAGAAGAAACAT